AAACTTGAAATTAAAAAAAAAAAAAAAAAAAAAAAAAAAGGCTCTAGTGGCTTAAATTTGACCATACTTTGGCAAAGGGTGGAGGTAAGGCTTGAGTATTAAAAGTCAAGAAGCCATTTATACATGGTGTCTGGGAGTCAGCAACTTTGACATTTCAGAAACACTGCAAGCTGCTTTGGAGGGCTGAGAAAGCACTGTAAACTATAGTGACGGCAACGTGGTGTGTCACTGAGCTTCCTGGACTGGCTGTGACAGGAATCAAAACTGCCAGAATAGTGCCCAGAACAATGGTCTTGCCATCTTTCTAGCTCAGTTGAATCCAAGTGCATTGGAAGTTTCATGAAATTGCTTTTGCAAACTATCCTGTTTGATTTTCAGTGTAGTGTGATGGCTTCTGTTGATGGACAGAGACTTCTAAATTCTTGAGTGTTGTTCTTCCTCCATGCTAAAATTAGAGAAGTGTTATTGTAATTAATGATTGCACACAAAATGGCAGAAGACATTATTGGTGTGGCAGAGATAAATGAATAATTAGGAAAATAAACTCTGAAGGAAAAAAACCCTCACACTTAAGCATTTTGATACTTTCGGAAGATGGGACACAAAAAAGACTGTGTTCTCTATACTGTACTATAGCAGTTTGTGCTATCGTGTGTGCTATGGAAAAGAGAGTACAATATAGATGTAAAAATGTTCTTACGTTAAACATAGTGATTTAAATGCTTATTTTATTTTCATCTGTTTATTTCTACAGTAGGAGACTGATGTGAGCAGTATAGCAGTGTAAAGGAAATGGAAATGGAGAGTCTTAACTGGACTCCCTCCCACTGGTCTGAATGAAGTGTTATTTATTGAATAATGTTGTATCTTTGTGGAAAATGACAAAAGCTGAGAAACAAAAGGAAGCACAGTTGTTTTTCAATACTTAGTCCTTTTCTGTAACAGAGCATGAAATAATAGTTTAGATGTTAGAAATGATCATAAATGATATTGTATGCAAACTGTATCCATTTTATTGGATTTCTTGGGAGGACTCTTAGTGACGCTATCCACACAATCATTGCAGCCACGGTGTGTGCAGATAATGCCTGTGCATATCTAAGCAGCAAGGCTGATTGGGGGCTGTGGGGTGGGGAGATTTATTTTATTTTATTTATTTATATATGTCTACCTCCTCTTGAGTGGAAAAAGATGGGGAGGAAGGCTCAGTGAAACCACTGCTGCTTGTACAGGGAAATGTTTTATTCCAGTGCTTTTATTTTGGAATGCAGCCCTGGTTCTTCTTTTCCTCAATAGTTTTCTCAATTGTTATTTCTTAGATACCACTTACCATAATGTTTAGTAAGCAGACAGGTGTGTTTTGAAATGTGAGATTATTTTTTTTATACCATTCCCACCCGCCCCCTTTTTCCCTTTATTAGCCTGCCTTGATGCTCTGTATAGGACTGGCTGTATAGGAAAGCTAGACTTGCCTCTCACTTTTCTGGACAGACCTATAGAGTGGTGCATGTGGACTCCTCCAGCTTCTCTCTCCATAGCACAGCTCTCCTCACCTCTGCACATGGGGGCTGGCATCACTGCCAGCATGCAGGCACCTCTTAGTTGGATGGGGCTTATATGCTTGTAAGGTTCTGTGGCTTCTGGGCATTGCCCTTTCCATACTGGAAAGCACAGAGGCAGACGTAAAGCACTTCTTTGTGAGCAGCAAACTGAATCATGAAATTCAGTTTCTGCTTCACAATCTCTGACAAAGCTATGACCAAAGAAATGTCATACCTGAAGTTGTATAGGGCTATTTCTCTGGTTTCTTTCAGCCATGAAGCAGGCAGAGAGTCCTTTTTTTAAGACGGTAGTGCTGTTTCTTGCAATAATGATCAGCAGGGCATCCTAAAAGGCTTCACAGGGATCAACATCGCTGAATACACGAAGCAGGCTTGTTCCATAGTGTGCCTGACCTCTGCAGTTGAGGCACGAGACTGTCTTGGTTCATTTCCAGTTACAGGCATGCCTTTCTACTGTGGTCAGACCTCTGAAGTGGTGACCCACAAGGAAACACTTTTTGCTTTTAATTTCCTTT